ACACAGCTATCCAGGGCGACCCGTCTTTTCTTTAAGTGGGGGTCCCCCCCCGCCGGGTCCCGGGGAAAAATCTCTATTTTTTTTTTTGGACAGATTTTTTTTGTTCGCAAGAGGGGATGCCAACCGGTTTCCCTGTTTCTTGTGGTTGGGTAAAAAAAACCAGACCGGCCCCCCCTGGGCGGGGCCTTTTTGGGTTTTTGAGGGGGGGGGGGGGGGGTGGGAGGCGCGCGGTCCCTGACGGACGGCGACGTGAGTAGTGTCGTTCTTCACGGCGGGTGGTGGTACGCAGAGACCACAAGGAGGGCTGTGAGGCGACACCGGCCAAGCTGAAAGAAGATCGATGAGCCTTGCAACGTTCTGAGGGCTCGTCCAAGTGAGTCCAAGGGGTATGGTTAGGTGAAGCTGGGAGTGAGATTTTCTCTGGTTGGTAATGTACTGTAGACAGGAAAATGTAGGACAAGACAGGGACGGGTGAGGAGGAATGCGATGATAGGCCCGGGGAGCCAGAGGGCCCTAAGGCTAGGTAAGGTGTGATGGGATATCGTTCCGGCCGGTGGCGAAGGGTCGTTCGTACCCGGGCAGAGCGGCGCGCGACAGGCAAGACAAGCAACGAGTCGGTGCCTCTGACTCTGTAGAGTTGTGTTGCGCCGGAGGTTAAAAGTTGAAAGAAAACAGGGTCAAACAAGGGCTGGCTGAGGAGCTGGATGAAGATGAGCAGGCTGAACGAGGATTGAAGGCGTGTTACGATGAGATAGCAAGCGTTGCGATACGCCTGCTGTTGCTGCACGTCTGGCCCGACACGATGATTGATGCCGCGGCGGCCGTCACTAGTCTGCCTGGACGGATTTGCGCCTGCGCGAACGAAGCTGGGGGAGGGATGTACGAAGCGACGGGCTGGTTGGATGGAGAGGGGGGAGGGAGAACTGATGTCAGGAGTGGAGGGGGGGAGGTGTGTGTGTATATGAGCTTGGCTGGCGAGGTGCGGGTGTGTGTGGATTTGAGCGTGTGTGAGCATTCGTAGTTGTACTGTGCCGTTCTTGTATTTTGCATGTCGGGAAGATGTGAGAAGGCCAATGTTCATGTAGTACTACTGTACAGACAACAGCGGCTTCGGTTTGGGGCCAAGCCAGACTGGCGTATGGATGCAAGACGACAACACGAGCCTCGCCGTCGGGTGGTTGCCAAAGAGTTATGCCTATGTCACTCTTTTCGGTCAATCCTGACCAGGGACCGGCAAGAAAGAGCCACAGACAGATGTGTTGAAGGCAAAAAAAACTTGTGGTCGATCTCTGTTCTTTTGTGGGAGGAAGAGAAAAGAAATGCCGTCAAGCCCTGGGGCAGCCTTTTGGTCTTCTTCGACTTTTTCTCTCTCCTCTCTCCAACGATGAATTTTTGTTTGAATCAACGCAGGCTGCGTGGAAGGGCTCGAGAGAATCGTCGGGCGCAAGGGGACATGA